GGAATAGTGATGATAAAAAATGATGTGGGATATTTTCAGAGTGTAACCGTAGGCGCAGATGATGGTGATGAAGAGAGTGAAGTGGACGAACTGAGGGAGAGTCTTTGTGCTTGGACGACGTTCGCTGGTCCATCCTCATTGACGGTCGAAGACGAACTTGAGCGACAGTTTCCTGAAGTTACAACTCAGGTTAGTGAAGGGGATTATTTGAATGTTTTTATTATGGTTCAATATTGGTAATTGAATGGAATATGATTATTTGGTTATGTGATGAAATAATTTGATGACGAGTTTCTTATTTATTCAGATAGTGACAAATCAGTCGGGTGCTCCTTGCGAAGCGGATTTTACCTCTGTTTTGAATGACCTTTTTGCGGACGGAAATCGTCTCTTTCAACCTCTTACTGATAATGATGTTTGTTGAATTGATTAATTGACTTCATTCGATCGTTTCATTTTATCAATTTCCTTCTTTTGCTGTCAATCGGGTGGTCATGCAGCGAACGTTCGGATAGAACGTCTGTACTCATAACATCAAGAAAGTGTTGATTTAGAGAGAAATTTTATTTTTTGTTTGTTGCAGTTTGTTGATGAGGTTTTCGCTGAAAAGAAACCAAAGATATTGAATGGGTATTTGTTTGGTGATACGATCGGGGAGGGGTCGTATGGCAAAGTGAAGGAAGTGCTCGAAGAGTGTACGTTGGTGAGACGTGCTGTGAAGATCATTAAAGCAGCACGGCTGCGAAAAATACCGAATGGACGGGTATGTTGACTTGGCTAACTCTTCGATTGTGCTTTTCGATGAATAACGATAAAATTGTCAACTTTTGAATTGTTGGGTACCTATCAAACAACTCACTCTTGTAGGATTTATATTTGATGGTTTTTGTCTCGTGGCAGTTAATTAACGGAGTTTCATTCTGAGCACATAATGCTGTCGGTTTGAGTAGGGTATTTAATGAAAATGATCAGATAAATGAAGAGAGTGTGTCAGTGTTGGTTGAACTTGCAGGCAAATGTAGAACAAGAGCTGAGGATTCTACAGCGTGTTCATCATCGTAATGTGATCGCGTTACGAGATGTCTTTCGGCATGAACGAAAGCAAAAACTATACATGGTTATGGACTATTGTACAGGTTCATTGCAGCAAATGCTCGACTGCTCAAACGAAAAGAAGTTGCCCATCTTCCAAGCACATCACTACTTCACACAACTCACCGATGGACTCAGTTATTTGCATGGTCAAGGTTAGTGCTTATAATATTATAGCAGTGATGATAATGGTATTAAGATGATGTGTAATACTTGGATGGCGTTAAGAGAGATTGACTGTGGCTTTGGAGAAGCGTTTGCTTGATTGTGTTTGAGAATGTTCCGAAAAGGAATAAAGTGGTCAATGAGTGTTATTTCAGGTGTCATTCATAAGGACATCAAACCGGGTAATCTGCTTGTCACTCTAAACGACATTCTGAAAATTAGTGATTTTGGTGTTGCCGAAATGTTGGATCGTTACAGCAGTGAAGACTGGTGTACAATAGCACAAGGCACACCAAAATTCCAACCGCCTGAAATTGTTTCTGGGACAGTGGAAAGATATCAGTATGTTTTGGTTTGGTCCATTGCTTTGTTAATCGTCTTTCTTTTTCCAGCTTTTGCTGGGTGATTTCACCGTTTGAGCATCTTCAGTGAGCGTTGACCAGTGGTCTTTTTGCCAACCACTGTTCGCCCAACTACCGGAATCACTCAGATTATTAATCAGATCATTCCGGTGGCTTGAGTTGTAGTATAAGATAGAACTCTCGTTTTCCCGGTTATATTGTTGTCATTGTTTACAGACGATATTTGTGACAAAATTTAGAATTTTATAGTCGGTTATTTGTGAAAGGGCGGTTGTTGGATCAGTTCATTGCTTGTTCTGTTTGTTTTTTTTTTGATTTTCGAAAAAAAAAGCTATTTATTTTTGTTTTACAGTGGCCGCAAAGTGGACATCTGGGCGTGTGGTGTGACGTTGTATAATTTGGTAAGCGGTGAGTATCCGTTTGAAGGTGATATCATCATGCGGTTATTCGATAATATCGCCACTCAGCCACTGCAAATGCCAAAAAGTGTTCATCTGTCAGAATCACTGCAAAATCTCCTCAGTGCAATGCTCGAAAAGGATCCAGATCACCGAATAAATATGCACGATATACGCAGATGTGACTGGTTCAAGCAGAAATTCATACATGTGCGTTGTCTTATGAGAAGAATTTTGGATTGAGTCAATTTTCATTTGTTTTTTGTTTTTGTTCACGCGCACACTTGGATTTTGACCGCACATGTGTGTGAATATATTATTACAATTACGGAATTTCTTTTCGGCGGTTGACTGTTAATTATAATAGTAATAATAATAACAGTAACAATGTGCTGTTTGTAATGGAGCCTCAAGAACTGATTAAAACATTGAACGAGAATGATTTGAGTGTGATCTCATTCAGGATGAGCGACTACGCGTAGCCGTACCGGTATGCAACAACATGCCGGCTCACAGACCGTTAAGTGTGTACGCGCCTCTAGAGCAGATGTTCGGTAATTCAATGGAAAGTGACGATGGCGACGGTGATAACATCGAGCGGTTGAATTTGCTTGCAGAAGGTGATGATGATCCATCATGCAGTAATTTTCATTCAAGCACCGAGAACTTCTTCGACAATCATCAACGGACACAACAACGACTCAACTCCTATCCGAGCACGTCGCAACAACAGCAAAATGAATTTTTGACACCATCCATTCAATCTGATCGACAATCGTCCACTAATAATAATCATAATAATAACAGTAATAACAATGATGCGGTGCCATTGAATGAGTCGAAACGAAATCGTAGCATGTTAGTAGTTGTTTTGTTTGTTCGCTTTCGATATTTTTTTCAGTGATGTTTTATTTTGATTTCAGTTTTAATTCAATATGTTGTTATGTTAACTTCTTTAATGAATAATTTCTCATTTGACTGGTTTCTATTCGTAATCAGTTTAATTTTTTTTCATTTAATTGTAAATCAGACTAATGCTCAGTTGGAGAGTTGTCCTCATTTGTTCACTTCAAAGAGCTTATTTCATTTTCAGATTATCAATGTGCATGGGTTCATCACGTTCACCGTAGTGCTCAGCGTTAGAGTTTGAATGGAATGAATCAAAGGAAACAACAATGCGGTGCACGGAAAAGAGTTATTGGTACGGTCGTCATCATCACATAATCAGATGAAATTCAACAATCACAATATGTTTAGTGGACGATGGATTGTGGGCGATACGAATCATTCACGAAGCGATCGGATTCATCTGCCCATCTATCTGCCAGACCTGTTCCAATAAATATTCCCTTCAATTTCTCTCCCATTTCTAGTTCCTTCCTTACCACTTCTGTTTTCATCGTGACCCGTCGTTGTTCGTTTGTTGAGTGCTTTTCATTTTTGAATTTTCTAACTTCTTCCTTTGTGTCGTCGTACTCTCATTTTTTCTCATTCACTCACTGCTTATGTTCGTATACCTTTTGTACTTTTATAAACAATATTGTAAAAATTATATTTTCATTTTGTGTTGCTTTCATATGGTAAGCTGTATTTTTTGTTTTTGAATCAAAAAAGACATGCAAAATTTTTCGGGATTATAGAATTAAAATGTAGAAAAAAACGAAATATTTTGGCATTATGTGTGCGTATAATTGTCAGTTGTATAGAGATTTATTAATGTGAACTGATAATGTTACTATTATTAGTATTATCATTATTATTATTATTATTATTATTGTTATTTCATCAAGTGTTCTGATTCATTATTGTTAGCCAGTCAACAAAAAATTCATTCGTTGCACAGGGCGAGCTTGCTTGTTAGATCGATCGGAGTTAGAGCGTAGAGGTTGATTTTTGGTCGCGAAAACGAGAAAACATTTCGTTGNAGTTATGCAATAGTTTATCGTTAATTAGTTTCAGTTTTGTGTCTGTCTCGTTTTTGAAGTTGTATTCGCCTTGTATAGAGCAGATATTCATTGATTGATCGATGTTCACTTGTTGGTAATAATGTTGGCTCGCTAATTGATTTGATCGGGTTCGAAAGTTTATTCATTAGTATTCGTTGTTTGTTTGGTTTGCTTCTCATTTCCTTTCGCAAGCAAATCAGATTTTCGTCCGTCTGTGGTGATTTTGTATTGTTTTTATCACCATAATCATCATTATGATTATCGTCGTTATTACTGTTATCGTTAGCATTATATTCGTAATGTTTTGTTAGCAAATTTCGATTTTTTGATCAGAAAAAGAAATCTTTTGTCACAAGTTGTGTTAGATATATTTTGTTTTGTTTTTGGTATTAATGGATGTTTTGCTTTGTGTTTAGTTTTGGCGTGTTACGATGAAATTGTATGGAAATGTATGGATAATAGCATTGAACGGTTTCGATTTGCTGGGGCTTAGTAGCGTTTGCTTTTCGGTTTGTTTGTCAGCAGTTTAAAATTGGATAAAATCCGAAGAAATATCGAGTGGAAGACATCGAAGCGTAGTATCAGTAGAGTTGCTCATGGAATTAATGCCGTAGGTTAGGTGAGAGATGGCGGACCAACCTAATGGCTGTGGTATTTATGGGTTGTTCTGTGGTTAATTTGGAAATGATTTCATTTGTATTTATAAGAGAGTATGGCATAGTTGTTGGTGTCAAAATGGGTTATCGGCTGTAGGTTGCTTGCTGGTGTGGAAGCAATTTTTTGTTGAAATTTTGTGTTTCATTGAAAAAGTATAGCAAACGTGCGTAACGAAACGAATGAATATGCGTACATAGGTTATTATTACGGTTGTAATCTGATCAAAATGGATAATATTCTAGTTATCGCGCATTTTGATCACTCTATCCATATTTTCGTTTCACATCACATCAAATCAGTTCAAATGTATCTAAACTTTTATTTGTTTTTTTGCAAGTAATCTGTCTACCCATGTGCCGAGAAAGTATGCCGGTTCTATAAATTTCTTTCCCTGATGGGTGGGGATTTAGGCATTTTCTCGGATGGATGGATGTCTTCAAGAAATTGAGCTGTGCAGTGCATCCTCTCCACTACTACATCCGTTTCTCTTCTCAGCTGGTTTCAATGACAAATATCTAGCCTCCTGAAAACCGCGAAATTGTCATGAATCGTCAAAGAAACCGCACAATAGTGTTGGTGAGATTTTTCGGTTTATGGCTCTGAAGAGTTTCTCGTGTGAATGAATTACATTCATTTTTTGACTGATTGTGTTATTCATTCATATTTCTGAAGTTTAATATCGTCATTCGGTCATTGGTTCGTTTCTCACGGTTTCCACTTTTCAGTTGAGTTTATTTTCAACGAATTCGTCTCGCGTGATTGCTTTGATTGTTCATCCTATTTTTGATACGATGTACGCATGTTTTATTTATTTATTTATTTTGTAATTCATATTTTCTGTTCTTGAATCAAATTTTCTGCACAGTCAAACACTCTCACGTTGTTTTTGGTTCAGAAAATAACTGTTGTTCGCTGTTGGTCATTTGAGATCGGGAGCGTTTCAATTGTGTCTTCAGTCAGGACATATCCTGAGATTGCAGTTAGAATTGAGTCAATTAAAACTGTTACTTGAGTTCTTCCATAAACAGTTGATCGTAAAATTTGAAGAAGATAAACAGAAGCTCGAAGAAGGATACATTCGGACAGTTGGTTAAGAAGCGTGATTGGAAATCCAAGAATACCGAGAGGATTTCACTACATATTAGTAGGTGGTCAACGAACTCAGCCAAGTGCATGTTGACATTGACAAACCTGTGACAACGAATAGCTTAACGATCGTAACGCTTCCCTATATTGATTACAGCGAAAGTTAATAAAATTCAAACAAATGGAATGTGATCATTACCTGTAAACGAAGCAGATCATATAACATGGCGAGACGGTGAAATAATGAGATAAATGAGTCGGCAGAGTCGTTAGTGCTTATCTAGAGAGAATAAATACTTTAAAATGCATACGATTGTATGCTCATATCTAAGTTAAGCATTACATAACGTCATAATCTCTGCATACAAGATAAGATAAGATAAGCGTTGTTCGACAAAAAGCAATTGAATCGGACTATTGAACGATGCAATTATTGAACGCAGCTGCTTGTGAACACAAATGTTTGTGGGCAAATGCGTAAAAGTGTAAGCTTTTATTCGCTCTTCTCTTGGCTTCATGGCTACAATTGATTAGTCAGTTGAATGTTTCACTAAAGGATAATCAAGTAAAATAATACAACATGATAGGTTTGGTGATAAATTTGCGTGTGTTCGTTAGCGTTGAACGTTGTCGGTGTGTGAGTACGTTTGTGGATGTTTGCTTGTGAATTTATATACATAAGAATAAGAATTGAGAATATGAAATTTATAAAAAGTGAAGCGAATGCATGAAGGAATGAATCAATTGCATGTGCATTGTACATTGTACAAGATAAAAAATATCCATAGTACTACATCTTGCATTGATATGGCTGCTCTCTTTTTGCTATATATTTGCGAGTTTGGTGTTGAATACGAAACGAATTCGGAGTGAATTTGAAATTGGATTTAGATTGTTGTCATTATCACTTCGTTTGAAAAAATGAACTGCACATCATAAATGATGACTGTGACGAAAATAATTGAATAATGGCTGAAGGTATGTGTTGTGATATGATCAATGATTTGTAGTAGAATTCATTCCGTCTACTGGTTGGTTTCAATAAAGTCCAATACAACTGTGCACTCTACAACAGAATGAAAAAGGAACAACATCATCTCGTCATCACCTTGGTTTGTACAATGACGAACGATCGTGTTGGAAGGAGATTTATTTTTGTTGATAGGTCATTGTTCAGTGTTGATTTTATTGCTGATCGTGGATCGAATGCAATCAGTCCATAGGAAATCCACAACTGACTGTTTTTTTTNTTTTTTTTCAGTTCTTAAGAAAAATGAAAGCAAAAAGAGTTATTTTTTGATTTTTTCTGAATGTTCGTTGTATTGATTACTCATTCCTTATTATTGCTATTCACTGCTTAACCCATCGTCACTCAGTTTGGGTGTGTCGTATAGTGATGAATCAGCCATTATCGTTAACATTATCGTGTGGTTATCATTGGTATTATCAGTGCCATGATTACTATTGATATAAGGTGAGAGGTGCTGTTCGCTTTACGATTACGTCTATGTTTCATGTGTGAATGAGCATTGGTGCAATTGGCATTTTTGTTATTATTATTATTACTGATATTGTTATTGTTATCATTATTAAGGCTGTAGATGTTACCATGAGTATAATTGTTATTTTCGATACTACTGCTGAATTCGTCACCAGTTTATTGATTCTGACAAAAAGTGTGGCTTCCTTCACTTTCAAATTCGAATGGCATTCGGCAAAAACTTTCGTGAATGATCGATTGACCAACTATAATATGCAAAATAGACAATGTCTTGAGAAAAAAAAACATTTTCTATGGGTTTGTTAAGAAATTTCGTTCGTTATCCTGCCTTGTTTGTCTTTAGCACTTCGTTTGCAGTGAACTGAATGCAGAGACAGAGCAGTGCACAGCATATATGATACAACAACAATAACGAAATAGCAATAAACTGAACAGTAGCTGCTGAATGCATGAACCTATATTGACAAAGTTTACGTCGTTGTGCCTAAGCTGACATGAGTTCTGAGCCTGATTTTGAGCAGTTCCGCTCAGATCAGCGGTTTTCCGCCATCCCCCGTTGAACGTCTTTAAAGGCATAAATCTTCGACATTCTCCTAGCGTCAAATAGGATTTTGAAATTGAGCACGCTTCAGTTGCTGTCTGAAATAAACTCGTATGCGTGTTGTTGTGGTACCGACGTCGAATTCATAATAATACTTTATCATCAGAGTACATGCCCTCGTTCTCTACTTATCCACCGACTGCTCATTGTTAATCAGGCAGTGCTGATTTCGTAATGTTCGCCCTCGAATAATCCGCCACTTTAAGAGGGATTTCAAGAGTCTCCATTTGGATGTGCTGCTTTTAAGTACGTACATGCATGAATGAAAGTTTGTCTGTCTTTTTTTCAAACAATGATCAACAACTTTATACGGCTAGACGGATGGATGTTTTCGATCGATATGCTTTATTTCATAAGCGAGCAAATGACAACGGTGGCAGAATACACTCTTGAGGAATTTTACTCGAGCATTATTCGGGTGGCTTGAGACGAGAGCATTTGTTTGGTTGCTTACCACTTGCTGCTTGTAATTTAGACGTTCACTAAATTGATAAGCATTCCGCCGTTTTGACTCTGATTCAGTGTTGTTAGCCGTTTTATTGGTGGGAAAGCGAACGTGTTGCTGAAAGTATATGCGTGTTTATTTTAATAACACTGTTGCACTGAAATAAAATTTGGATGCAGTTTTTTTTTTGAATTTATGACTGTTTATTCATGCAAATTGTTAGCATTTCTTTAAAGCTAAGCTGAAGATGTTACTGTTGATACCGTACCGTCTGTTGAACTGAATTTTTGGAGGAACGTAATTCTAGACTTGCGCAGAAACTCGAGCCTCCGTAAATCTCGTATGGTACCGAGTGTTTCCGTTCTCCTTCGATAGTTTTTTACCACTATTTTTGAGGATATTGTATAAACGCGATGAATACTTTCTTCCTTTTTTATATTGCACCGTGTGTCCGCAGTGACGAAGTTTAATCGTTAATGCGCTGAAGTAAAGCTTACCCGTTAGCAGCTTACTTTAATACGATGAAATTCTCAATTCAGGTGAAGTTCAAGCTTCTTCGGCCATTCGCTCACCCCTTCCTGTTTTATACGTTTTTGTAGTGAACAAAAATTAACTGAAATCAGCGGCTGAGTGAAGAATGTCGGTTGTGAACGTGTACGCGACATCGGCCACCACCGAGAACTTGTCTCGACATGAGATGTTGATGTGGGTGAATGACTGTCTGCAGTCGAATTTCGGTAAGATCGAAGATATGCACACTGGTGCGGCGTACTGTCAGGTTATTGCTGTTTTGATTCATTTCAATTTCATCCGAAGAATTCGATTACTGTGCAACTTTTAAGTGGNTTTGCCAGCAAACATCGAGAATTATTCCGAACTGCAAGATTTAGTGGGAATTTAGCTTTGAAGAGTCTGTTCTTGAATGTTGCAGTAGTTTACAGAAGCAGTAAGAAGTACCTCGGAATCGTATCGGATCTTAATGTTATATGCATAAGTATGATGATGTAATTGCAGTTCACCGATTTCCTATTTCCTGGATCAATTCAATTGAGACGAGTGAAATGGAACAGCAATTTGGAGTTGGATTGGTTGAGTAATTGGAAATTGCTGCAGACTTCTTGGAAGACACTTGGTGTGGATAAGATTGTACCTGTCGAGCGACTTATCAAAGGCAAATTTCAGGTGGTGCTCTCAATCCATTATTCGACAAATGATTATCATTTATAAACGAGGAGTGGTTCACTTCTGTCGTCGTTTTGTCGACGAACATTCGAAGTGAAACAAACGATGTTTTTGTTTTAGGACAACTTTGAATTTTTGCAATGGTTCAAGAAATTTTTTGATGCGAATTTCGATGGACACGAGTACAATCCACTGGATGCGCGTGGTGGAGAGCCGTTACCATCTGATGCCAAAGCAGGTCCACAGTCCAGAATGCCCGCGCGTGTTAAGTTAGTTGCTTGTCACTGTGTTTCGTTGATAGGATCGATCGCGTTTCAGTGAAACTTGTTGATGTTTTGAGTCGTCGTACGTTTACCATTTTAGGGGAAGAAAATTTTGAATTTTTTCATCAAAAGTCGATGTATAATTTCAGCAAATGAATTTTTTAAAATTGTTATTTTTGGATGAATTTCGACTACAAACGATTCGATGACACTACATATTCGAGTACTGAGCGAATTCTAGAAGACGACTCACGATCACACCCTCAAAATATTGGCTTTGTAGTGAATTTCAGACAGCCAGTTCGGTCAACGTCGAACGCATCTGTTGGTAGAGAGCCACGTTCGCGTGCCCAGCCACCTGCCTCCAGTCGAACCACACCCGCACGTTCCACGCAAGCATCTGTTCCACCTGCATCGACCGGCTCGAATGTTTCTGCTCGAACCCATAATACGGCAAGTTCCCAACCTCCTGCTGCTAGTGCTACTGTTACGACTGCTCCAACTGCACCGTTGCATTCTGCCGCAGACCTACAGGTAAATGTTACTGTTTGTAAACCGATCAGTTCATCTGCTTATCTGAAAACGAAAGGCAAATAGTTATAGCACTAGTATCGTTGAATGGGTTGGCTGGAATTAGCGACGTTACCTTTGAGAGGGCAGATTGAATATCAACAGTTATGTCAATATCAGTTGTATTAATTTTGGTTGAAACTGATCAAGCAGTAATGTCAGAACGGTATTTGTGTAAGACGTAACTGATTATGAGAGATTTTCGTGTAAAGGAAGTTTGTAAATTTTTTTGCCATCCATTGTGATGAATAAAAAATGGAGAGTTTTTGATGGATTATATACGATTGTTGAAGTTTTTGTTTGACTTTGAGACGTCCAACTAAAGATGTGTTAATTTAGGAGATATCCAATTTGAAGCATGACCTAGAAGACGCTAAACAACAACTCATTGACAGTGATAACGTCATCGTGAGCTTAGAAAAGGTTGGTGAGCTTTCGTGATTCGAATTTTTTGTATCATCATTACATTCCGTTCGCTTTGAAGTCATCCTAGATGTTCGGGTTTACATTGTCGATTTCTGTCGTTATCTTTTTGAAAAATTAAAAGCGACCATGGGAGATTATTGCGGATTTTTGTTTCATCTGCGAACTCTTCTTCGTGATGTTTAATTGAATGTTTCAATATTTCCTCAGGAAAGAGATTTTTATTTTTCTAAACTACGACGAATCGAGTTGCTCTGTCAAGATAACGAACAAATCGGTACAGTGGAAGTCCCAAGAGTCTGTAATGTAAGTAGTAGTTGCTTTGTCTTCATTATATTCATTTATTCTGATATGATAACAGCAGTTAGTTCATAGAATCATTGTCGTAACCTCACCACAAATCTGTAAGAAACTTCAGATTCTCTACGAAACAGAAGAGGGTTTCGCACCGCCAGATGAGAATGACGTGGAGAATGGTGAAGGTGAAGAAATTTATTGATGTTGGAACAAAAAGATTGTTGATTGTGAGTGAATGCAAGAGATCGATGATGACTGAAGGATGGTGCTCAGCGAATTTGGTTGGAGAATGGCTTTGAGAGCCGAGGGGATATGCTTCTCGTTGTGCGTTTGATAGTTAGATATTCGGGCTTGAAGCTTCATTTCTTGTTATTGTTGCTGTTGTTGTTTTGGCGTTCACTTCTTGCATCATAGTCATCAACTATACACTGCAGAGCATATTAATTTATCAGATAATTTATTCATTTTCAAGTCATTCGTATTCTTTTCGATAAATATCTTTCTCTCATCATTACTTCTTCGCTTCGACGTTCTTTCTCTTGTCTATTTGAACTCTCTGATTCCAAATGATTCTGGTATGCGCAGCGTTGAATCTTGTTTATATTTGATTCGTTCAATGCTACGGTTTGTCCTCTCTTCAAAGTTTTATCGGTCGTTTCTTCAAGCCGAATTCGAACTCGAACAAATTGCGTTTAGTAGAAAACGAGATATTAGATTGTATTTGATGCGTTTACTTTTTTGTCTCATTTGTAACTTTTCAAATTCTTGATTTTATTTTCTAACGTCGTTTTTTGCGAGAAGATATTTCGCATCTCTGATTGCTTCAACCACATTGAATCCAATTGTTGTTGCGATTTGAATAAGATTTGATGTTTCGTTGTTTTCGTCATTATTATTATTTTTATTATCATTATTAAGATTATTAGTATTATTACTGTTGCTGTCTTCATTGGCGAATTTTGAATTCATTTTCAAGTGTCGTGCTCCTCTGCTCCAAATTGTTTGTTGTTTATTTCTTTGAATGAATGCAAGCAGTGCAATCTGATATCCGAAAAGGTTGGTGATAATTTTCAGTGATTATAATTTTTCTCGCAGAGAATATTTTAATCGTTTCTTTAATCACAGTCCATTTTCCAGTATCGATTGTATTCATTTTGTTGAAAGTGTGAAGTGAAGTTGTCTCATTTTATTGATTTTAGTCCATCAGAAGAGTTTTGTATCGCATTTGCTATCGTTCGTTGTTGTGCTGCTTTACTATTTTTTCTTTTTTTTTNTTTTTTTTTGCAATTTTGGTTCAAAGTGTCAAAAATTTATGTATTCTTCAAGCCATACGTATTTTAGTAATACTCTTAATGCCATCTGCCCTGTCGTTTCCAACTTATTATTTCTCTTTCTTATTGATATTGTTCATTGTTGGGCTCGTTTTGAGTGCCGCTCTCCTAAAAAATAATCAGACGATATGGGGAAGTAACCGAACACCTCTATGCTTGCCAAATCATTGATCGAGTTAAAAGACTTTCATGAAGCTGGATAATTCCCTAAGCGATTCTCGTTAGCTGCGTGCCGAAAGAAAGATGTCAAGGAAGGAAGAATATACTGATATTGGTGATAACAGAGAGGCATAAGCTCGCAATGAGTCGTAATCGCTAATTAAAGAAATAAGGTTGAAATTGTCCATCGGAAGTTTCAACTTGTCTAGCAGAGACTTGATATTCTTTATCGGATTAGACCATGTAATATTTTGTGAATCAATCCAAATCGCTCATCCATCCAAATATTTCCGACGGTGATTGTCGTTATTCAAAATGTTATTAGCTGCGATTCGTTGTACAATATTTTTCCATTCGATAGAATTCCTTTCGTTTTCTCAACAGTTTTTTCCTCTTGTCATTTCTCTATTCATTTCTTCAATTTTCTCTTTCAAAGTATCTATTGATGTTTCGGAAAGTCTTCAGTCGGACAACGATCGCTTTTTAGGTGAGTGATATCCGGAAAAGATTTATTCATGACTTGGATGGGCAGGATTTCTTAAAAAGAAACAGAAAGCGAGAAAATTTCCTCCATTCATTTAGTGTTCCTTCCGAGAATATTCTATATGTCTATGGTCCCGATTTGACTGTTTTACTAACAATAAGATTAAGTTGTATTCATTCTAACGATCGCGACGCGCTTTTGGTTACGATTATGATTATTGCGATCGT